TGTGAGAACAGACAGTACTTGAGGGGTCAACCATGTAGATTGGAATTTTGGGCCTCACAAGATGATTTTGCAAATTACTAGGCTGGCAATAAGATTGCAGTTGAGATCAGTTTCCTTTTTTTAATGTAACTAAAAAATTTTATATTATAAAAAATTATTTTATATTATTATTAAACTTGATGTCTCTGAATCCTTTTGTCTATACTAGTTTAAAATTAAACTATATAAAAATTATTTTGATACAACCCATTAATTTAATCAATTCAAGAGCAACTTGATTAAAAAGATATGAAAATAAAATTAAAATAATAAAATTAACATAAAAAAACCTTTTTAATCCATATCTTTGCTCAGCTCATATTTAAAATCATTTTGTATGTAAAATCATTTTGTATGAGAGTTTTATAGATATGATGCAGTCCATTTTAGCAATTTAAAAACAATCCAACAACTTGAAAAAAAAAGGATGCCATTGAAAAAATGAAATTGACAAAATAAATATTCTTCCAACATGATTCATTGTTTAATTAGGTTTAAAATGAAATTTCATAAAAATTAATATGAGGTGAATCAATTGACTTGTATTGATAAGGGAATTAAAAAAAAGGTAAAATAAAAAAAAATAAAAAGAAAAAAAAGAAAAATAAAAGTGGGCAATGCAGAGCAGAATTCGCATCGCCACTTGCAATGTACTGTCTGGTAGTCCGAGAGATGTAGATTGCTCCAACACTTGCCTGGAACAAATTCATCACCCTTCATTGCAATGCCAGGCATGCCGATCATCACCAATGAATATTAATTCTTTAAAACAGTGCAGATGTTATGACAATTATAATCATAGTTATAAAATCAAAACCAAATAATTATTTTTTTAAGAAAAAATCAACACTAAAAACCAGATTTTGTCCCAAATCAACACGATCTTAGATCAGCTTATGGCAATCCATGGTCATAAATCAACTTATAGATCAACTCAAGTTAAGTTTGGCTAATTTAACCATTCCTCTATTTTTCAAACTGGACAGATTCAAACTATGGATCAACAAGATCCAGATCAACTTGCCTTTCAGGTTTCATAACCATGACCATCCCCCTATTCTGCCAACAACTTTACGATGCAAAAATCTTGAAATTTCAATGCAAAAATCTCGAAATTTCAAGATCAACTCGCCTTTCAGGTTGTCTGGGAGTCGCATATCTAAATTCCAAAACAGAAATCATGTTTTCAACTGAGTTTCGGACTCTCCATAGACACTAAATAAAACCTTTACAGTCGAAGTCTCACTGAATAATTAACTCATTACAGCTTAAATCTTTTAATGATCTCCCTTACAGCCATAATGCATAATCTGAATTTTAATTTGCTGTAAATCTAAACCTCACTTAGCACCTCATGGCACTTGCGCCAAACTAAATTCCTCAGAGCAACAACCAATAAGAAAATGCAATAATCCTAACATGCATTCTCGCAGCCAAGCTAGCATCTACGAGATATAATCCAGTTATTTAAATCTAGTTACATCCACAAATGTCATTGAAGTATGATATTGGAATGATCAATCATTAGTCTTGAAAACAATCAATAAGGCAAGCACCAATTCACTGACATTTAACATTTCAATCATTGATAGCATATAGCATCAACGGATAGGCCAACCTATCCGTTCATCCACGACCCATTTGCTCTAATCAGTAAGGCAATGCTGATTGTTTTCAAGACATCAGCACCTATGCTGACAATAACAACGACAAACTCTAAAGCAAAATCTCAGAGCCATTTCCACCATGAACTCGAAAGTCATCGTCAAAATAACCAACACTTGACTCAGTCATGTACTTATTCCGATATGGTTCTGTTTCAGGCTAGTTACATACGAAAATAATGCAAAAACAAGAGGGAAACCCCAGAAAACAACGACAGATAATTGCCATTCTCATATTCTAAAGTAGACTAACTTTGATTCAATTAAAAAAAAAACCAATCTGTTAACAGTTACATCCATAGAAACCAGGGCCTTAACCCCGAAAACCTAAATATAGTTCCCAAAAAACAAAAACCCATTTAAATGGACAGCAACCAATTTCTACTCATGTAAAGTGCCCAAGATATCCTCGTCCCTGTACAAAACATACCTGCAAAGGAAAAAAGAACCACCAACACAGACCCAACACCAACAAAAATAAATAAATACACGGATAGTCAGACCATTTAAAGAATATCATAATACACAAAAATTAAATCAATACACATGAAGCACTTACTCTTTTTCACCAAGCTTGACTTGGGTACCCCCATATGAAGGCAAAAGCACAGTGTCACCTTCCTTCACAGCTGGAGGGATAGTGTTCCCTTCAGGGCTCCTTAACCCAGGACCCACGGATATCACTTTCCCTGAGTTCAGCTGTTTTCAACCCAGGCAAATCACCACCACCCAAATTCAATTATAATATTAAATGTAAAGAACAAACAGATTCACGCAGAAATATAGATAAAAGCAAAAGTGAATGAGATACCTTAGTAGATGTCTCGGGGAGGAGAATTCCAGCAGTTGTTTTGGAGGGAGGGACGATCTTCTCCACCAGGACACGGTTGAGGGTAGGAATCAAGCGCCTTGCCATTCTTTTCTCTTTTGTTAAAAAAACTGTTTCAGCAAAATGAAAGAGTGGAGCTGCACTTTTGGATGTCTCCTTTTAAAACAAGAGGGATTGCAGGAGGAGGAAGGGTTGGGGGATCAAGTTTCTCTAGAGAGAAACAGAAGGTTCTAGACTTAGATCCTAGGGTTTTGTTAGGGTTTTAACTGGAGGGCTGCGTGCGATTAACTATGGGCATCCATGTTTCGAGTATGGGTAAGCACTGCGGGATGGATTAGAGTCTGGGCACCGGTCGCCCATTAAACAATCCCAACTTCTACTCGGTCAAAAAGGTGTTGCCCAGTATCCGGCCCATATATGTTGAAGAATCACTCCACAAATCCATATCCTCCCGGCCCGGCTAGAAAATAGATTTTCTGTTCATTTTTGTCTCTTTAGTTTTCAAAACAATTATTTTAATCCTCGTGTTTGATAATATTATACAAATCAGTCATCAATTGAAAGGTTCTTGGTCCTCATATGTTTTCATATAGATTCTAAAATACATGAATCCAGATCCAGAACATGTTAGATCATGTACGTGAAATTCAAATTAGAATAGAATCTCAATTATATTATTCAAACATGGTTTGTCATTTTCCTCGCTAGAACAACAAAGGATCTCGTCTTAAAAAGCTCCCTTGTATTGAGAAAATATGACTTTGGAGTCCATATAAAGCATAATCTATATATAAGCATTCTTTTCTTTTCATTTACCACGGGAATAAAATAAAAATTGCATAAAACAAGTCCAGGTTTCTCTCATAGCCAGGCTGTGCCTAGGGGCGTGTCCATCTGCCTGGGCTGACCGTTTAACTTCTTCCTTTCCCCCCTCGCTCGGCAGATCAATAAGCATCCTTATCTTTTCATCCATAGTAATTTTTTTTAACCACCAGCAACTGCAATAAAAATCCAACAAGGTATGAACAGGTGACTCGCATTGTCACATGTTATTTCGGAATGAAAATTCAAGACTGAGGCATGTCAATTCCTTTTTCTTTTTAATCGATTAAATGCTTACTGTTTCATAACCACATTATGTTCATTTAACTCAATAGTGGCGATGGAGACAAGTTCACTTATGGATGCCAGTACAAGGTCAGAAAAACAAACGTATATAAATCGATCCAAGATAAAATGAAAAGTGTCGGATGATTTGCACGTTTAACCTGCTCTTACTTCCTTAAGAAATTTAACCCTGAGGTTCAGTGGGAAAAAACAAAGAAGAGGAGACATAATAAAAGAAGGATAAGAACACGTGAGCGGCAGGATTCGAACCTGCGCGGGCAGAGCCCACATGATTTCTAGTCATGCCCGATAACCACTCCGGCACGCCCACTTAATGAAAGAATATAGTTAGTATATTATACTAACTAAATTACATTGGGCTGCAGTTCCCCACTTCAGCTGTTATGAGATTTTTTCTTGTCTTAACTAAAGCACTGGTTTAAAATCCTTAGAGTGGTTTGGGACTGTGATAATAGTTATTTTTAATATTTATATATTAAAATATAAAAAATTATTTTGAAATTAAAAATTAAAAAATTATCTTTTTAAAAGATTTTTTGAAATAAAAAAAGGAATAGATTCTTAGTGCTTAGAATTTTTTATATAATATTATTAAAAATTCAAATCTTAATTGAGACCGTATAAAAAAATATTTTTTTATGGATATATGAGTTCAGATATGATTAGACTTCTTAAAAATCTTCTGAGGAGAGAGATTCACTTTCAATAGGTGAAGTGTGGTTTGAAAATACCTTTATTATTAAAAAGAAAAGAAAAAACTAAAATTGATTCCACGGTAACAGTTTTATTCGCATCAGAAAGAACTGCACATTTTGATGTCTCATTGTGATCCTTGCCATCTGAAAAAAGTATCCTTTGCCACGTGGCAACTAGTTAGAGTATTTGCTATCCATGTTGCTTTAAAATTTAAAATTGATCTAATTTTGAAAATGATTGGAGAATAGTATATTTGATGACATTTAAAAATGGTTACATGCTGCCGTGGAAAAAAGAAGCTGTTGATTTGACCTCACAAACTTGGACCTATCTTAAGACACATGCATCATACAAGAGGGACAGTGACAACGTTCCAAGTCCTCACAACAGGTTAAGATGAAAAAGCTAGATACAGAGAATAATTGATGCAGCTGCTAGAAACTTTGATTCGCAGGGACCAGGGTTCACATTTCGGATCAGTATCAAAATATATCTCTAGATGGTTGTCTATGGATTCTTGTTCTAACAAGTGGTTCTAACAAGTGGTATGTACAGGCCAATATAATTAATTATATTACCTTATGAAATGCGCGTGCATGCCTTTACGAGCCAATATAATTAATTAATTATATTTAAGGTTTTGTTTAAGGTTTTAAGCGTATATTCTTGTTCCAGCCCTTCCTATTGTTTTCTGCAAAATGTTTTTCAATTGCCTCAAGGAACTTCTTGGCAGTTGTAACCTTTTCAGACACAGAGCCTCTAAAGGCTTTCGGAACTTCACGCTTTATGATCCTAACACTCATGGGACTTGAACGACCTCACTTCTCAGAGTCTCGTTTTCCCTCAGTGGAACTTCTGTCCGTAAGAGCAGTGGGTTGTTCAATCCTTGGCACAAGGTCTGGATCCATGCAGCCGAGAACAATCATTGCATTCTCTTTCAAATCCCTGGAGTTGGTTTCATTCAGCATAGGAATGGAATTAATGTTGGCGGCTATGGTGGAAGCAGATGTATTAGCTGAACAAAGAACAAAAAACATATTAAGAAAAACAATGTCAAGCTTTTTAATGATAGAAGAGAAGAAATTAACTTGTAAAGAAGTGCGATGTCAGCATGCAGACAAACTGGGTATATAAAAAGACAGTATCAATGAACCCTCGCCATCATAAATCTTGTTATTTTGTGGAGAGGAAGAACAAAAACGTAATTCTTTCTTCGTAATATATTTTGAGTTATATTTTATTATATATTAAATTAATATAAAATATTAAAGACGTGTGGAATTCAAAAATTTAAAGTAATATTATTTTAAATTTGTGGATTCCACACGTCTTTAATATTTTATATTAATTTAACTTTCTCCACCAATACAACAAATAGTAAATAGACAAAAAAGAAAACAGAGAGAAAATTTGGAAAACCTAACCAAAAATAGAGAATAGAAAAAAGATATATTAAAACAACCTTTCCCATAGCTTGGCGAGGGCGCGAATTTCTACTTCCAATCAGAACAATACAAGTCTTGTGGCGGTGAGGGTTTTCCAAGCTTCCCGTTTACATCTCAGGTTTGACTTTTCTTACTGGTCATTTAATTTTTTGGATTTCAACCTTTTCTATTTCTTTGCTTTGTTTATCTCAACTTTCAATTCTTTTACATATTTTCTTCTGATATATTGGGAGACATTTTCATTATAATTAAAAGGTGATATAAAAAAGGACCTGTCAGAGGATAAATACGTTAATTAAAAAAGGACCTGTTAGGGGATCCCAAGGAGCAGTTCAGGGAATTCCTGATTGTTACAAGATCCATTTTTCAGCTGATGCTGGGTTGTGGAGTGGAATTCCCAGGGACAAGTTCACGGATTAGGTATATCCACACGTGAAAATAAAGTCAGAACCACAACTTTTAATAAAATGTGATGCTACTGTTCGTATGAAGTAGCAGTTGTCTTTCATTGGATGTTGAAAACCTTTTGAAACAGGAATGACAGGCCATATGTCTTGGGCGGCAAGGTGATGAGAGATGGAATATAAAAAGAAGGAAAAAGAAGATGCGGTCCTTGTAATGCCGTCAACCATACTTGAGAAAGTAGAGCTAGTTGCGAATGATTGATCCTTCTTTTGAGAAACAAACAACTGGTGGTGGCCGAGAAGAAAGACAGGTCTTTCATGCCTTTGTACGTATGATCAGCTGCAATTACAAGTTGGTGCAGGGATTCATGGTCTGAGAATTTCTTATAGTATGTTTATTGATATTAATCGTAGGATTGCTGCGATAATGCTGATCTATTCGGGTGAATCTTCGAAGTGGCTGTCCATTTCATAATCCTCACTGAATATTCATATCCTCATCGGGCTGTCTCGCAATAATTAAACAACTGGAGATTTTTTTAACAAGGTTTCGAGTAGCACAATAAATTAGTATTTTCCCATCCCTAAATTTTATCCCTTCATTAAAAAAATCTCAAAATTCAATTAATATGCTGTTCCTCGAATGCTAATAGCTAAAAAAAAATACAAAACCTACGATGATGAATAGTATAAAGCTTCATGGGATTTGAGAAGGGCGTTCAATTAATTAGGACATAATGCAAAAAAGAAAGTAAAAAAGGAATTATTCAGAATATCAAGGGCTACAGAACTGGCGAACAAAAAAGAAATTGCGGTCCATGTTGTTAACATATGCCATTTTTCTCAAGACTTGGTTCGGATTATCCTACATAGCATTGCGATACAGAGCGTCTAGTGGTCAGGTCTTCCACCAGCAAATTACGAATACTTGTTTTTTTAAGCCTGGCTCAAGGATGAGCAGGCAATAATTAAGCTTGATGCAAATCATGAATTTAACTAGAAGGTCCTTACTTTGTACCTTAAACTGCGCATTGATGGCTTATGTCCGTCACTCTCAAAGTACAAAGTCATTTTCTTCTGTTACAAAAGATAACTTAAAATCAACCAATAACTTTCTGGGAAGGAAAACAATGTGTGTGTCGTCATTCGAGATAGAAGCTCATGTCTCGAAGAGTTGGGTTCGAAGTAAAAGAAGAATGTGTTCTGGCATCTCAAAGCAGAGCACCTTGATTTGGAAAAAAAATCATGGAAGAAAATAATTCCACGTTACTTGAGACAATGGCAATTATGAGTTTTGGTGGCGACATAAGTCAGCAGCCATAATTATTGACAACTGTGTGACTCGGGACCATCTATATAAACACCATAACCACACAAATCCACAACCATGCATACACAATCAAGCAAGCAATGTAAGTGCACCGACCATGATCCAATTTTAGGCTGATTGTACTCAAGAAGACTAGTGGTCCGTGGCCACACTAGCTGGAAAGTGAGCTGATGGGTGCATGGCTTCAATCAGATAGATGAAAAAACAAAAAAGATAAGCACCTCAAACAATCCTTTTTTTTTCTTTTACTTGCACCTTAACTTTATGTGTCACATTGCCAATCCTTTCCACACAAAAAAAAAAAAAAGATTACTTTTTTTCTTTTCCAATCCCTTCTTCTTTTTCTACCCTCTAATTTCTTTAAAACGCTATTATTCTTGAGTTCCAACAACAAAGCAAGTGCAGGGGAATCGCCAAGCATGGGAGAATAAAAGAGCTAGCTTTGATGACGATTTGGAAAACCAAAGCCTAACTTATCTCTTGTCACAGTCGAGGTTCAAAAGTGATCATTCATACGAGCTTCGAAAATAATTGTGGTGCATACAATTATACATTGGCAGTTACAGGTGGCCTCCCCTTGTAAGGCTGATCTGAAAAGGTGAAACCACTTTCCGGTGGGTCCAAATTGCCACTTAAGATGTTCTTACACAAGGATAAGCTAACAGTATTTAATACAGCCACTCCCCTGTTGAAAAGCTTAAGCATTAAACATAAGCAAGTGGAATAAACTATGCTAATTGGATTCGAAAGTGAAACCTGCACCCCATTCCACAGATACTAGTCTATTCAGTACATTCTTGCCTGATAGGGGTAGGGTGATTGCCTCTGATCAGTATTCAAGGTCAGGGCTCGGCCGATATTACTCGTATTCAAGGTCAGGGTTCGGCCGATATTACTCCCACCTCTCCCGTGACACGACAAATGTAGTATGCTGATCAGTCGAGTAATTAATTAAACTGAATGAAGATTCCCTACTCCGTGACATAAAGAGTTACTTGCGTGTAGATTTGTCTGGTGTCATTTGCATGTTGATTGGAACAATGAGGCATTTAATCTCGATACTCAAAAACTTGTGCAAATATCCATTGAATAAAAAAATAATAATGTAGAAAACCACGAATGGTCGTTGTTTTGTGGCATGTCATGGCAGCTGAGGTGTGTGGCAACTTGGGTTTTCTACAGACGGTCTCATTAGTGGTACAGAATGCACACGATGTCCATCTCTGTATTGTATTGAAGGCTTGTAACCATCTTCATACAACCCAGAACCAGCTTATAGAGAAACGCACCATTTCTGAATTGGAGACAAAATTGAAGACTGGGGAGGAGACAAAATTGAAAACTGGGGAGGCAGCACATTCTTCAGGATATTCCAACTTCGGCAAGCCACATTTGCCACATGGCCAACTCTAGGGCATGCTCGTTAATGTTGCCTTCAATGTTCATTACCCCTCTCTTAAATTGCAAACTCAAATTTTTAGAGATGATGATCACGGGCCAGTTAATTCGCATGTTAATAATCTGCCGGCAAAAGAAGGGCGCAGTCAAAACAGTCTGAAGAAGTAAAGCTGCGAAGACATGAAGATTGAATGAGGCTAGCTGATTTAAATAAACTGATATATATCCAATACACAAAGCTGATATAAAAATATGCCCCAACGAAAGGCTGGATTGCAAGTTTTAACTCCAAAAGGAAGAAAAAATAGTGGAATCTGGCTTTCAAATGAATATTTCAGACCCTGCTGTACTAGAAACAGCACGATTGATCAAATTTATTGAGCTCAAGCACATTCATATTAAATCAAACGAGATTAAAATTCGACATAATTCAAATCGCTGTGCTCTGAAGCAACACTAATGAACCATAGCCTTTAACATGGGGTTGGTTAATTAGCAATGTGAGGATTAAGTTTTAGTGTAGCCTTTGGTGGTAGCTCTATATATGTGTCTCATGACCTTTTTCATGGCGGTAGTCTAAACGTCATTACGGTATGCTTAAAGTAAAATCCCTTGAGATAAGTATGGATATGAATCATATGATAATTATATATGTGCGGATAGCTCCCCTGTCTTCCATTCTTGCAACCAGAACGCCAATGAATGGGGCCGCGGGTTATTTAGCACCCCGTCACCTCTTCGTTCTCTTTTAAAAAAGGAGTAACAGTTATGCTCATGAACTTTTCGTACGCATATAGCATGGCATGCAATTCTTTCCAATCAAAAGTTCTGAGCCTTTAGGATTAGAAATTAGGAACATCTGTGGACCGTTCACAGGGAGAGTAACAATTTAATTAAATGCTAGTTCTTGTTAATTAAATTCTAATATGATCAACTCTTCTTCTAGGTATCAGTAGACAACAGGGCAACGACCATACAAAAAAGGTGAACTTGCAACATTTACAGAAACTGATTTATGTGTGTATCTTTGTAAGAAGCAAAAGGAGTTTGTGGGGTCAATAGGGGAATGCTAGTTTGATAAGGCCTCATCAACAGCCGACCCCTCTCTCTCGCTCTCTCTCTCTTTCTCTCCACAGTTTTTCTTGCTGTCTTGGTGACAGGTGGTTTGTTTGTTAGCGGTCTGGAGAAATTTGATTAATAGGGTGGAGACTCAAATAAAACTAGAGGCATTGCTCAAACACACCACACAGGAAAACAAAAATTCTCTCCATATAATGGAGCCAAACGCCAGCAATAGCATGCAACCTGATCATTGCCTAGAAATAACACCTATGGAGGTGCACAAAGTTGTCCCACCACCCCATAGAAGCACCATACAGAAGCTCAAGAGCAGATTTAAAGAAACCTTCTTCCCTGATGACCCTCTGCGGCAATTCAAAGGACAGCCATTGGGAAAGAAATGGATACTTGCTGCTCAGTATTTCTTTCCTATTCTTCAATGGGGTCCTAACTACAGCTTCAGGCTTTTCAAATCTGATATTGTTTCTGGCCTTACCATTGCCAGCTTAGCCATTCCACAGGTCAGTAACCAAATGTCGTTTTTTTCCTAAATCTTGAACAAGATTTTAATTATACAATATCTTTATCCACTAATTTGACCCTTCTGTCTAAACATCTTTTCAGGGCATCAGTTATGCTAAGCTAGCAAGTCTACCTCCCATAGTGGGTCTTTGTGAGTAAAATATAGTTCTGACTGTCTTGTATTTTTCATCTTACTACTCGTATACAATACTGTTTGATTGGATTTTCTTTTCCTTGAAACAAAATATGCAGATTCAAGCTTTGTCCCTCCTCTTGTATACGCTGTTCTTGGAAGCTCTAGGGACCTCGCAGTAGGACCTGTTTCTATTGCTTCTCTTATACTGGGATCAATGCTTAAGCAAGAAGTATCTCCTACCACTGACCCTCTATTGTTTCTTCAACTAGCTTTTTCCTCAACCTTCTTTGCTGGCCTCTTCCAAGCTTCATTAGGATTGCTAAGGTAAGTTTCCTTTTTCTTTTTCTTTTTCTTCAGGTATTTTTCTTCTTCTAATTTTTCTAATTTTCTCTTGAAAAGTACTAATTCTGTGTCGGACTGAATGGTTGCAGGCTTGGCTTCATTATTGATTTTCTTTCCAAGGCAACTCTAATTGGATTCATGGCTGGAGCTGCCATCATAGTCTCTCTACAGCAATTAAAAAGCCTCCTTGGAATCACTCATTTCACTGAACAAATGGAACTGGTTCCTGTTTTGAGCTCCGTTTTCCACAACACCAATGAGGTAATTAGTTAGTTTACCCCTCTCCAAAGCACAAACAAACATAATCAATTGAAGGAGTTGAAAGTTTAAGCATTAATCATAGTTTCAACCACAACACCCCTTTCTAGTTTGTGCAAGGTGAGGTTCCCACTATTCCACCAATCGACATTATAATTATAGCGTAATTAATCCACTTGATAACAAACTTAGATGGGAGTGTGATTGCACGAGTGGCTGCTAAACTAGCTAAGGCCTTCCTATCTTAATTATCCAATCATTGTGCATCATCACTACATTAAGTTGGACCCGACAGACAATCCAAGGGTTAAGATTTGAGATTTTATTTGAAGATTTCATGTTCAAACTCTGAAAGATCGAAAGGCCATCCCGTTATGCAGCCGCTTGAGACAATTACCCCAAACCAAAAAAAAAAAAAGTCTTGCCGCAACATGTTTGACTGTTTTTCAGCTAATTATATGATACTCCTAGAACCCTAATAAAAAATTGACTGGATAATCCTGACCATTTGGATGATGCTCTTGCAGTGGTCATGGCAAACAGCACTGATGGGATTTTGTTTCCTCGTGTTCCTTCTACTGGCAAGACACGTTGTACGTCATTCTTTACACTCTCTTCATCTCTTTTCTTGAAGTAACTTATTGAGTGCATGGTATTTGTATACTCTCATTAAGTGCTTTTACCGCCTAAAGAATCAAATCCTGTTCGTTAATTTATTTGACTAAAAAAATATATTGCAGACGTTATTGTCTATTTTCATCATCAACCCTTTTTAGCATCTTCCCGGTTGCCTCTTTTCAGTTTTATCATTAACTGCAATCGCTCCTTTCCTGTTCTGCTATAAAAGAATCCTTTCCTGTTCAGTTTTATGATTTTATCACATATACCCTCTCTTATGACGATAAGAATACCATATACCCTCTCTGGCCTCTGCCATTATATATATTAATTTATTTCACTATAAGTAAGCTAGCTATGGTATTCAGATGCTCTGCGCCTTCAGAGCGGCGTATTTCCATTAGAAAAGAAAATAAATTTTTGAAAAAAAGAAAAAAGAAATGTTAATAAAATGAAAGAAAATGCATATTTTTTCATATATAAATCTCCTTTTATGCTAGATGGGCGTGGTTCAGATATGTTTTGGTATATAAGCCAGCCCAACTTTTGGCGGCTCCTTTTTTATTTAAAAAAATATTTTTAAAATTAGTATATCAAAATAATTTAAAAATATTAAAAATATATTAATTTAAAATAAAAAATTCAAAATTTTTCAAAAACACTTTTAAAATGCAGTGCTAAATAGCTATTCCGACTAGACCGTGTCCGATCCAAAGCTAAAAACATTGAACTAGGTCCGACCCAGTTAAAAAGAATTGAATTTTTATTTTTTTAATTGTGTTTTATTTGAAAAATTAGAAGGAGATCGTTTGATGATGTAGCATTTGCAGAATTTGATAGCAATTCTAATTTTGTTCTTGTCGGGTACAATCCAATTAAAAAATTCAGTTTTTATTTTTAATTATGTTTTATTCAAAAAATTAGAAAGATATCGCTTAATGACATTGTATTTGCAGAATTTGATCGCAATCCTAATTTTGTTCTTGCCGAGTTCAACCCGGTTAAAAAAAATCAGTTTTTATTTTTATTTTTAATTGTGTTTTATTTAAATAATTAGAAGGAAATCACTTAATGATGTAGCATTTGTAGAATTTGATCACAATCCTAATTTTGTTTTTGCCGGGTCTAACCCAGTTAAAAAAATAGTTTTTTATTTTTATTTTTAATTGTATTTTATTTAAAAATTTAGAACGAGATTGCTTGACAACGTAACATTTGTAAAATTTGATCGCAATCCTAATTTTATTCTTGTCAAGTCCAACCCAGTTAAAAAAATTAGTTTTTATTTTTATTTTTAATTGTATTTTATTCAAAAAATTAGAAAAAAATCGTTTAATGACGTAATATTTGTAAAATTTGATTGCAATTCTAGTTTTGTTCTTGATGATATTTTTACTTGATATTGTTGCATGCTCAAGAAACCATGAAAATATAGTCTTTGTTGGATATATTTTGTATATTATAAAATTATGCATAATTTAATAAAATAATAAAAAATATTTGATATCAATATTATTTATTTTATGATATAAGTCAGACAAACTTTTGTTACGAGCTTAAATGGATCCCACAGACTAGATAATACGCGAAAATCTATGGAGAAACCCAACTTTTGTTACAGGCTCAAGTGGATCCCATGGACTAGATAATACACGGAAATCTAGGGAGAAACCCAACGTTTTTTAGTCAAGAGCTAGCTCTTTTTTTATTTTTTTAAAAAATATTTTTAAAATCAACACATTAAAATAATTTAAAAATATATTAATTTAAAGCAAAAAAATTCAAAATTTTTCAAAAGAGCTTTTAAAATGCAGTGCTAAACAGCTATTCCAGCCAGACCAAATCCAGTTCAAAGCTAAATAGATTGAATTAGGTCCGACCCGATTAAAAAAATTAAATTTTTATTTTGTTAATTGTATTTTATTTAAAAAATTAGAAGGAGATTGCTTCATAACGTAGCATTTGCAGAATTTGATAGCAATTCTAATTTTGTTCTTGTCAGGTCTGATCCAATTTAAAAAATTCAGTTTTTATTTTTATTTTTAATTATGTTTTATTCAAAAAATTAGAAGGATATCGCTTAATGACGTTGCATTTGCAGAATTTGATCACAATCCTAATTTGTTCTTCTCGAGTCCGACCTAGTTAAAAAAATTAGTTTTTATTTTTATTTTTAATTGTGTTTTATTAAAAAATTAGAATGATAACGCTTGATGATGTAGCTTTTACAGAATTTGATCACAATCCTAATTTTGTTCTTGCTGGGTTCGATCTAGTTAAAAAAAAAATTATTTTTATTTTTAATTGTGTTTTATTTAAAAAATTAGAAAGAGATCGCTTGATGATGTAGCATTTGCAAAATTTGATCGTAATCCTAATTTTATTCTTGCCAGGTCCGACCCAGCTTAAAAAAATTAATTTTTATTTTTTTAATTGTGTTTTATTTAAAAAATTAGAAGGAGATCGTTTGATAACGTAATATTTATAAAATTTGATTGCAATCTTAATCTTGTTCTTGATAATATTTTTACTTGATATTGTTGCATGCTTAAGAAATCATGGAAATATAATTCTTGTTGGATAAATTTCATACGTGATACAATTATGCATAGTTTAATAGAATAATAAAAAATATTTAATATCAATATTATTTATTTCATGATGTAATAACAGTAGTTAAATCTATAATATTTAAATTAAAAACCATCAATATTAATATATATATATATATACATATATATATTTGTTAATTATTTTACAACCTTAATTTAAAAAGTATTATTTTAACCAAACACTTTAAATTACGTTTTGTTTAACCTTAATTTTAACCACAGTTTTAATCAAACATATATTTTTTCAAATCAACTTTAACTAAAAATACTTTTTATAAAATAATTTTTTTCAAACTACAACTACAACAGCTATCACAATATCAAACACACTAATGCTGCGTTTGTTTTTCACTTGTATTTGTATTTGTAGTGTAAAAAATATAGTAAAGTGTTTGATCATTGTAAAAATTATGTCTTATATCGTGGAATTTATTAAAAAATTGAGTTTGAAATATAATTTTTATGAAGTAGTTTTTACATACTTTTTAATTGAATTTTGTAAAATATTGTTTATTTTTGCATTTCAAAAGCACTTTTAAAAAAATTTAAATCTTTTTATCTTTTCTTTACTTTAAATTAATATATTTTTGGTGTTTTTAGATCATTTTGATACGCTGATATCAACAATAGTTTTTTTAAATAAAAATACATTATTTTAATATATTTTCAAGTAAAAAGTATTTCAAAAAATAATTACAATTACATAACTATCAAATATTTTATGTAAATTTTTTATTATATATAAACTTCAATTATAATTTTTACTAACTATAATTTTTACTAACTATATATCTAAATCCAACTAATTTAGCTAACCATATTCTTTTTAAACTTATTATTTATTTTTATTTTTTTGGTTAAATCACAGCTTCAAAACTACCTTAAAAACAAACGAATGGCATTTGAAAATGTGTTTGACTGTTTGCATTGGAATGTGTGCCCACAGAGCATGAAAAATCCAAAGCTGTTTTGGGTTTCAGCTGGAGCCCCTCTTGTGTCGGTGATACTATCTACTATCCTGGTTTTTGCATTCAAGGGTCAACGTCATGGAATCAGTGTCGTAAGTTTTCAAGTCCCCCATTAACATAACACCCCTTCATGGATACATGTTGCTTATCATTAGGCCCTTTTGCTATTTATTAGATTGGAAAGTTACAAGAAGGGCTAAACCCTCCCTCATGGAACATGCTGCATTTTCGTGGAAGCTACCTTGGACTAGTTGTGAAAACTGGCCTTGTTACTGGCATTATTTCCCTCACTGTAAGTTTCTGTTTTACTTTCTTGCAATTATTTTCATACCATCTATAGTGTTTGCGCGGCTAAGCTGGACTCTGGATTTTTTATACTTAAACGAGCAACCATGGATAGAGCTGATCTGCCTTGCAATTATGTTTCATATCTTCTGGACTTATAGCTAAATTATCTAGAAGCTACAGTACATGGATCAACCAATACAAAATCCTGCACGGACTTTTAAACTAAGCTTTATGGTCAGGTTGGCTGATGGGCTGAAGTTTCAAGTTCTCTGATTACTGGTGTTTTACACTGTGCTAGAAGTGGCTTAGCACTTTTAAAATACAGCTTTTTCAGAAATTTCATAGGAACCGAAACTTCTTTAGTTTCTGTTTGGATACACTTATGAAATGTGTTGTTAATGCGAAGGAATAGTTAACAGACTTGCTATAAGGATGACAGGCGCAATAGATTTTCATTGACTTTGGTATCATTTGCAATTTTGCAACATTAATGAATGAAAATGTTAAGGCAGCGGATTGCCAACATTTAGTATCATAACCAGAAATCATACAATCTGACCTCGCCTTGGATGTGTGGCATCTGTTAAGACAGAAAAGCTGGTATGCTTTTGCTTATGTTGAACTTTATTTCAAACAGGAAGGCATAGCAGTTGCAAGGACTTTTGCTGCTTTGAAGAACTACCAGGTAGATGGTAACAAGGAAATGATGGCAACGGGGTTAATGAATGTGATTGGCTCCGTCATTTCCTGTTATGTTACAGCAGGTGCTGACATATACAGTCTACTATCCTTTCTTTCTTTTCTGTTATGCTATTAAGTGCTTAAAAATAGAGGACACATCTATGATATTATAACAGAACTTTGAATTTCAGGAGGTTTCTCTCGTTCTGCTGTCAATCACAATGCAGGAGCCAAAACAGCAGTTTCCAACATTATAATGTCAGTGACAGTTATGGTGACCCTCCTCTTCATATTGCCTCTATTCCAATACACCCCAAATGTTGTATTGGGTGCCATCATAGTAACAGCAGTAATTGGCCTCATAGACATCCCAGCTGCTTGCCAGATATGGAAGATCGACAAATTTGATTTTATTGTGATGTTGTGTGCATTCTTTGGTGTTATTCTTGTCTCTGTCCAGGACGGCCTCGCCATTGCGGTGAGTTCTCAAGTTTTAGATAATGTTACCAGAACTAAACCTGTCCAGGCTTGAAAAAGTAAACAGGAAGTACTTATTAATTAGGATTTAAGTTGCTTTTCCTTTTTCAAATTATCTTGGGAAAAGACACTATAAAACAACCATGGTGCTGTTGATGAACAGGTAGGGATATCAATATTCAAGATCCTTCTTCAAGTCACAAGGCCAAAGACTGTGGTTCTGGGAAACATCCCTGGGACAGATATATTCCGTAATCTTCATCATTACAAGGAAGCTATGAGGATCCCTGGTTTCTTCATTTTAAGCATCGAAGCTCCAGTCAACTTTGCTAATACAACCTACCTCAAAGAAAGGTTTGTCTGTGCATTCCGTAGCTCATAAAGCATACTTGCACTTCCCATCGTGACTCTAATAAGTCTCCTTTAATTTTTCCTTCTTTTTTCTTTTTTGATGGTAACTCTCCTTTAACTTTGTAACAGGATTCTGAGATGGATAGATGAATATGAAACTGAAGAAGACACAAAGAGACAGTCAAGTATTCATTTTCTGATCCTAGACCTGTCAGGTAAGTTCACCGCTAATTTTTGCAGAAATTAGCAGTGTTATCTTGAAACAGTCTAAAAAACAGAAAATCTTGTGTTCTTCCTTGTTCTTGTTTCCAACTACAAGCTTTATAGATTGCATAATTAAATCTTGCGCATCTGAAATTAGGCTAGCTGGGTTTTCTTTTAGAGCTTATATTGGTGGAATTGATATTTGAACCATTTCCTGCTATGGTTGGCTACTTTAACTCATCAAGTCCTAATTGCAATGTAGTATAGTCATACTATCAACCACGTAAATTAAACAGATTACAAATAGTCCCTGTACTTGTTTCAGCTGTCAGCTCCATCGACACAAGCGGAGTCTCACTCTTGAAGGATTTAAGGAAAGCACTGGAAAATACGGGAGCTGAGGCAAGCACATAGCAGCTCTAAATTGCCTTTTCTTTTCAACTGTCTTGCGTTTTAGTTGTTTGCAACTAATACTTCGGTTTATCCTTGACATCGCAGCTTGTCTTGGTGAATCCTGTGGGGGAAGTGTTGGAAAAACTGCAGAGGGCCGATGATGTCTGTGATGTAATGAGCCCTGACGCCCTTTATTTGACAGTTGGAGAAGCTGTGGCTGCACTCTCATCAACAATGAAGGGCCGATCATCGAGCCATGTGTAACAATGAAAGAACCAGACAAGTTTTATCCCGATTGATTTCTTATTCGACAAAGGAAATCATCAATTGTATGAGTAGTGCAAAGAGAAAAGAAAAGCATTTTTATTTTCAGCAACTTGAATGTAATGGCGTGACCTAGTATTTCGTAGGCATCTTCTATGCTAATGTTTCTTACAGTATTGCAGTTCATCAAAGTTCAAACAGTTACACCCTGCAGGCAATATCTAGAACTCAGATTTTGAAAACATATGAATCTGCATCTTCAAATGAATTAGCATCATCAAGCAGGAGATTGCCAGAACTAGGAAAACCAGCATGCTTTCAAATGCGCATCTCTTTCACAATAGCATGACTTGGAACACGAACACAGCCGATGCATGCTTTCAATTGAATTCTTCAGAAGAATTGGTTCCAAAAAATTCATTAAAAAGGTTCCACTATAGGAATAGGACAATTCCAATGCCATCTGACCTCTACTATCAAATTTTATTGTCTTCTTATATTCCAACAATAAGGGTTGAATTTAGGCCCCCGTATCTCTCTTTGGCTATTGTTTTGTTGATTTGCGAGTATTTTAACCCTTTACTTTTATGAGACTGTCTTTTTCGTTTGGGTTTATTATGATGATGATTGTAAAAGAACATCTTGTTTCTGTCCTTTGAACGAGAACGATTCCATGATGGTAGTGTTCAAATATATACACGTGTATATTAAATCTTGTATTTTTTTAATAGATTTTAGATATTTATTATTTTTCTTGCTTAAGGATGTGAGCTCTTTTTTTTTTATTAATATCTGATTAAAAAATAAAAATAATATTATTTTTAATCAAAGTTTTTTATATAAAAAAATCTTTTATGATACAAATTACTCATTATACAATATATGTACCAGAATCAGTGTTAAAAAATATAAAATAAAAAACCAAGACAAGTAATATATATATATATATATATATATATATAAAAGTAACATTTCAATTTTTTTTTAAAATTAATTTTATGTTTTTAGAATGTTTAAATATGTTTATATTAATTTTAAAAAAATAAATATATAAATAAATATTATTTTAATATATTTTTAAATAAAAATATTTTTTAAAAAATAATGATTATAGCACTTTTAAAATACTCTTTTATAAAATATAAAATAATTTTTTTTAAAATAAAAAAATTATTTTAATATATTTATAAGTAAAAAAATTATAAAGAACAACAAGGCTACCGGAGCAGAGAAGGAGACCAATGGGAAAGAGCAGAGAGGCAGATCCTCAAAGCCTGCAAAAATACGGCATTCCTTTATACTCTGCTGCTTGGCTTCCATACAAAGAGCTCAGATCCAACCTAAAATCCCATGACGATCACGTTGATTCCTCTGAACAACAGGAAAAGCAGCATGAGGAGGAGGAGACCCCCAAGCCCTCTGCTTCTTCTCATGAACACTACGTCGTTTTGGCCGGCGGTGGCGGTGAAGGCAGCAGCGGCATTCCCAACGCCGTCCTTCTCTCCTGTTTTGATTTCTCCTCCAATTCCCTCTCTTCTCAGCCCGTACGCTCTATTCTTTTTATAGATTTTGCATCTGTTCGTCATGTTTAAAATTTCTCTGATTTCTCTATAAATAAATTCTCAGTCTGCTTATATCTGGGAGTATTAGCTGGGATATATTTATTTCTTCTGTATAATTATGAGATAGCCGAAATTAGATTGTGAATTGATTGATTTTATAATTTTTATTGTTTTGATGTATGTATTTCTATGTTGCGTTTCAGGTAGCTAAGCTTGGCCTTGGTTCTCAATTACCCTATATAATGGTGGTTCTCCCCGGTGGAGATGGAGTCATTTGTGCATTCCCCAGTAGTTGCTGGTACTCAAATTCTTTTTAATCACTGCTTTTTCTGTCGAAAAAAACATTTAACAATGGTGAGCTAGAGCAACATCTCTCTGAGGTTGCCAATTTAGTACATTTCTTGATTGTTGTTACTAGAGTTAACTATTTTGACCTTATTGCTTCCTACTTTGATTCATGTCAATCTACTAGTTAGATTACTGTTTTTCTGAAAGTTTCAATCAGGCAAACATAATTTTACTCTAGCCCTGTTGAGTTGGTGTAATCAGGGAACGAAGAAGAGTCAGTGTAATTAGAAGACTGGTAATGTAGAGGTTGGATTCACATGAATGACGAGAGCTAGGAGACTTTGGTGCTATGCATATAACAAATTGTAACTTGGATAAAATCTAAATGTCCATAGATACAGAAATTCTTTTCGAAGATGAATCTCAAGGTGCGGATGTTATGTGCTGCATAATCTGGAGTGCTTATTATGTGGATGTGAAGCCTGATGTCTGATTGAAATCAACCCTGCTTCCAGTTAACATCATTGCGTGTTGCTTCCCAGTTTACTTAATGTCACAACTTCCCTATCCCTGTCCTTTGCTCGTAGATTTGAGGTCATAAATAGTTCAATATGGAGATTATAAAGGACTGTAAGTTTCACGCAGAGAAATGGGTTTAGACAAAAACCCTTTAAAAGTGGTTGGTCTGGGGATAAGTTGTGCTTGTATTTTAAGAAAGCAGTGGGTTTGCATTGAACCAGTATGTGGAAAGAAAGTGGTTGGTCTGGGGATAAGTTGTGCTTGTATTTTAAGAAAGCAGTGGGTTTGCATTGAACCAGTATGTGGAAAGAAAGTGGTTGGTCTGGGGATAAGTTGTGCTTGTATTTTAAGAAAGCAATGGGTTTGCATTTAACCGGTATTTGGAAAGTTACAAAAAAGTTTGAAGTGATTTCTCTTGTTTGTTGGATTTGATGTTGATTTTGGGAGGAAATTTTCTTGCTCTGACAGTAACGTTTTGTAGTAATTCACCTCAAAAGACCAAAATCCTCGAGTTGGAGGTGGATAAAATGAGAAAAATGAAGGTATGTTCATATGCTCATGCTTGGAAATCAATGATGGGAACATCATGGAATGCTGCTTCTGATAGTAGTGTGCAAAACTGGGAGATTAGATCCTTCCATTACTTTTTCTTAATCAATTTACAATTTAAAGGCTAAAGTTGTCTGTTTTTTGTTGGATTCACCCTGGGGTTTCTTTAAGCAGTTGATGGGATTGTTAATCATTTACTATTACATTATGTGTTGGCTGGGCATTTATAGGAGTTAGTGTGCCAGCTATAATTTTCTCTTGTGTTGTGGCCAGGTAAAATGCCTGTTTTTAAATGCTGAGAAAGAGTAGTGTTTTTGTACTAACCAAAAAAGTAGTATGCTGCTAGTTATCTTTTATGTTGGAGACAAAACAGATGAGTTTCTGAGAAGAATCTCTCCAATTGCTTTGAATGATTTTTGGATATACTGGCATATAAGGCGATCCTTTTCTAACCAGTAGCATTTTTAAAACTCCATTGATTATTAGTTCCAAATGCACCACAGCTGCTGTTTGCATTTATATTACGGTCCGATTCACTAAATACAAAATAGAAACATTGTGCCTATTTATTTTTTTAGAAAATTTCCACCTTTACTTGCACCAAAAAAAGGATAATCAATTTATTACTATGTTTTCTCTTTGCAGATTTTTTGACTGGGATGAAGTCAAGGACAATGAAGACCATAAATTGGGCCTTAAACCATCCAAAAAATTACTGACACAATTAGAAGATGTTGGACAGCAATTAGCATTGGCCTTTAACAGTGACGGCTCTGTACTTGCTGTAGGGGGCGAGGTAGAGAGTTCTTTGCATTTCCTTCCGTTAATTTCAATGTAATCGCTGCATTACATAAAGGGAAAAGGCATTCTGAACACGAGGAAGACATGCTTAAAAGATATTGCTTTGTTTTCTTTTCTTGTCTTCTTTTTTTGCCTGCATATACAAGGTGGTTTTCCTACAATCATATAAAGGATTAAAAGAATTGAACTTGTTTAAATCTCCTGCCCAGTCCAGTAGCATGAGAAGCTAATAACTCTTCTTCCTTGATTTTTTACAAAAAGATAAAACTGCTAGTCAGCTTTGATAACGTATATAAAGCTGATAAAAGGCCTGGTAGGGATTGTATAAACCAAGTTGGCCAAAGAGGAATGCAGCATCAACACTTACCATCTAAAATAGAGTTTGTGGCACTTAGGGGATCAATAATAGGATATTTGGCTTCCCTCCATGATTAGGTCTAGAAGAAATTGATGATTTTTTTTTTCTCTCCTTGTTTCTGTGGTGTCTTTCTTATTATTATTTCCATCAGGAAAAGAGAGGGAAGGATGAAAGCAGGAGTGGGACAATTTATGTAATTCTTAAAAAATTAAAGAATAAGGAAAGTGTCCATTTTTTAGAAGAGATGCTACTGTCCTGGGCTGTGGACAAAGCACATTTTAAAGGACTCTCACTTTGTGCACGTTTATATGATTAATTGAAAGGTGCAATAAAAAGTAAACTTTTTGGTCAAATTTCTCTCCTTTACCTTTCATTGTTTTCTGATCTTTGCGTTCCAGCTTCTAATTATTTTATTGCATTCTAACTCGTAATTTTATTAGCTAAAGATGACTGGTATGTAGATATAGTTTGTGAGGATTTAAGTTATGTTCCACCACTCCACATTCCAATATCAGATTTTAGAACCTGCCATTTGGCCATTCACCTACCACTGAAAGTATCGGAACTTCCCCAACTGGGTCTTTATTTTTAATAATGATGATGTGGAAGAGAGCCTGGATCCCTTCTTGAAAAATAACATGCTACATGATGCTTTAATTTTGGTGCAGTACAGGATGGCAATTTAAGGGTTTTCAAGTGGCCTGGCATGGAAATTATTCTTAATGAGACTCAAGCCCATGCATCTTTAAAGGACTTGTGTTTCAGGTTGGCAATGATATTAGGAAAAATTTCTATTCCTGGAGATTTTAGCATGAAGAAATTGTATTCTGTTTATTCTGATTAGCTTAATTGTGTTGCAGCCCTGATGGAAAATTTCTTGTTTCAATGGGACAGCGTGACCTTGGTAGAGTCTGGGATGTAACTTCATCAACAGCTGTAGCCTCTCTACCAAAGGAAAACGGAAGCTGTAAATGATAATTAGTTCTTGACTAAGTTCTTTTCTTACTAGCAAATGCTTTGACCCTCCATGTCAAAGTGGTTAATACCCTCGCTCTAACATGGTCACTGTACTTATTATTGATTTCATTTTGGGTTTCAGCAACAAAAACATCTTGATCAAATTACTAGAAAGTAGGTTTGAGTAATCCCATGACTCCAATTATTCTAGGTTACTTATGGTCTCACAATTCATGGCTGGCACTTGTAATATATTACTCTATTTCTATCAAATGAGTGTTGAGCTAATTGCATTTACTGTGTTTTACTTCCAGGATGAGATTTTTGCATCATGCAGATTTTCTCAAAGGACTGATCAGGCTCAGGTTCTCTATATTCATACAGGAAAGCCAAGTTTTTCATGCTCCCTTTGACCTTCGTTGTTCTCTATTAATCATCCTAGATATTGTGTTACATAGACAAAGGTGCAAGTATTGTGACTTGGAACACAAGCTCATGGAAGAGAGTGAGCTCAAAGCATGTAGCCCGTGAACCAGTTTCGTCCTTCAATGTCTCACCTAATGGAAAGCTCCTTGCAATGTACAGAATCTCCACTGTTAATTTGAAGTCCTTGATGTTAAGATATTCTAATTTCTTGTGATTGATTGACAGGGGTATGACTCAAGGAGATGTGCTGCTTGTAAATTCAACCAACTTGCATGTTCAAACAATAATTAGGAAAGCACATCTTGGCATAGTAACTGCTTTGGCGTTCTCTCATGATTCAAGGTTAGATGACAACACTGTGTCTACATGTACACTTTAATCAACATTTTAATCAGGGCATTCCCATCTAGGGATGACATCTGAGTGTTAAGCATGTGTTATGCAAATACAGGGCTTTGGTCTCTGCATCTATGGACTCAAGTGCAAGGGTGACACTAATTGAGGACAGCAAAAGTGGTATGTACATTGCGATTCAGATTTTTCGTCCTGTCATTGATGTCTCTGCAGTGGTTGGATATAGACCTGATAACTCAATCACAGACTAAAATCTCAATGCGACTTTGATTTAGGTTAATCATGATATGACTTTACCCAAATAATATGGTAAACTGAATATTTGGTATTAGTGGACTGTGAACTCAGAAAGTAAAATGCACATTGTATCAAAACTTGCTCTTTATATTTATTTATGCTTGCAATTTTGTGGTATTTCACCAATAATTTACACACAGCTTGGAGTGTTTTACTAAAAGGGATAGTTTAGAGAAAACTAGAATGTTGGACAGGAAAAAAAAAAAGGGAATTATACTGGTCAAGGAAGCAGTTAATACTCCTAAGGTTTTTTGAAAAGCTAGGCATATAATTGGTCTTTTGGAGGGAAGTAGTTTGATATGTGAAGGGGGGATGGACTGTTAATGGAGATGAAAAAAAAAGATAAAATTGATTGGGAAACCATTTTTTTGGCATTTTTCCTTGTTCTTGACATGCTAGTTCTCTCATTTCTTAGCATAAGGAACTTTCTTTTGTTTCTTGTTTAGCTGCAGGGGGATCAAGCATGCAGATCATTATATTCATCATTATACTTGCAATTGCTGCATATTTCTTGAAGAATGAAGCTCTTCCTTTTCTTGTCTAGATATTGGCTATACCAAATTATTGTGAATTTTGCTATGATTTATGGAATAGAGGCTGCCACATTGTAAACGATAGGTCGGAGCCTATCAGCATCCCAGTCCAATAATGGCGATGTGGTTTTGGGAATGTAGTTTTACCTGTTATGTAGGACGGAGGGCCTGTACTTGAACTGTGCCAGTAAATTTTGGCTGGTTTACTTGTTGGGATGTGGATTGATACTGACTTGTATGGACTCCGACCCTGGTATCAGTTCCCTTGTCAGCATAGGATCATTGATACCCTGCTTGGCTTTCATCATGTGGAATATCCCCAAATCTTGCTATTTTTTTCGCTAACCAAATTATCATGTCGCTGTTATTTTTCTTTTTATCATCTCATGCTAATGATTTGTTACAATTGACTTTTCCTCGGTCCAAATCCCGTAATTGTAAGGTTTTTTTTTTTTTTGTACTTTAATTTCCCGTAGTTGAGATGATTGATTGTCATGTAAATACAGTTTAACTAACAATCAACATTAATTACAAAAAAGGAGGAAAAGGCCTGATGGATGTATTTGAGATTCTGTCGTGGTTGTATTCTTAGCCGAATGCCAGGCCTGCAGGCTGTAGTCTGAGTGCCTTAGCCCCTTAATCACCTGGTTTATTACTCGCCTTTTCTTTCTTTTTGTATTCAGAGAGCTGGTAACCACTTTTTATAAAAATAAGAGAAAGATGGCATGGAGAATACAAGGGTTTAGATGTGATCGAGATTCGTTTATACAAAACTAATTTCCATTTAATTAATCGTCATCTTCCAGCCCAGAACGTTGACTTAGAAAATCTCGCTTGCTTTACTCCTGGATCAGAACATCCTACTTAGCATTAGGCTTATCCAACAATATTGTTGGAGTTTGTCATATTCTTTTAGCTTTACGGTCGGATCCCTCGAACCAAATTTTGCATATCAGGGATAAGTTCACCTCTACTTCAGTCAAGCATATCAAAGCTTGTCATATTTACACCTGTTATTTCTCCTTCGTTGGACCCGGTTTAGTTATTGTTTGCCGTCTGCCTATAAATTTTGTTTATTTCAGCTGTTATTTACTTAATGTTGCTTGAAATCTCAATCCACGTGGAGAAGAGTGAAAGAATTTGATCTTCCTCTTTTACCAAGTACGTGTTTTAAAAAGAAACTTTCGGCAATTAAATGTGCGAATGAACATGATGCTTATGAAAGAAAAAAAAACGCAGAAACCAGATTGGTAGCATAACATGGGTACAGTGAACTGTCGCGTATCAGCTGTCCGACTCTATATTTGAGGGATTTTATAATGTTTTAACGGAGTCGCCACACGCAAAATCAAATGCTAAAGCTGTGAACCAAACGAAGAAAAAGAAACAGAACTCTTAGCTCGATTACAAGAGAACTCATGTTTACTGTCTAACGTCAAATAGTTATTCACATTTCCACCCAATTCATGTATTTACAAAGTGGAACAATTGAACAGCAGGGTCCAAGTTTGTTGAAAAGAAAATAAGATTCGATGTAAAAACTTTGCAACTCAAAGTCACATATCAGGAGAAACATGCAACTGTCAGAAGTTTCTGTTAGCCCAACATGGCACGCTTCAATGCAATGAGACTCTGTTACCTTTAAACTCGCAACCTATCCGAGAAATGTCATTGGTGCTTCCTTTGGTAAAGCGAATAACCAACAAGAGCAGACATCAGAAAAGTCCATAGCACCTGCACAGTGAATGCATTAACCAGTGATGTAGGGATGCCATGCGGTTGGAACAGTATTCACATTTCTTTTTGACCAGATGGCATAGAGACCATCCAGTTCCAATTCCAAAGATACTAAACCAGTGAAACAATAGAAGGTTGCTTTTTCTCTCCAGAAAGAAAGAAGAAAAAACAATACAAAAAAGAAAATGAAATAAGAACATCCAGCTTGAATGCCAATTCCATCGTTGCAACATATGGTAAGAGATTTGGAGTTACTAACATAGTCCATAGTTGCCATTTCAAAAAATCAATTTCATTGGAAAAGCAGGCATTTAAGGTTCCAAAAAGTGTAAATTTGAATAAAAATCCAAATGAAGTCAACATAGACACATGGATTGCTAAAAGAATTTAGGTACCGTGTTGATAGCATGCCATCTTTCCAGCCTTTTGATTCTAGACTGCATGTCCTCAATTACCCCTTCTAAAGGAGCAGCGTCCCTACCTGGAGAGGGTTCTGGAGCTGAGCTGCTTCCCTGTCAGTTTGGCCATGGTAATAAAAACAGTGAACTCCTCGGCGGCTCAGCCTTGAATATATATTAAAAGGTCATTTCTCAGATAATGGTTAATTCTTTTGGACTTAATCAGGAAAAAAACGGGGGGTGGGGGGGCAAGAGCAGCGGGCGTGTAAGGGATTATAAGGTGCCCCATGATGATCAAACAGTAAGGTTGTCTCTAATTGAGCAGTTTGCTAACTGGAAAGATGTCTTGGCCCTCTATCAATACATGCTGCCTATTTCAACATAGAAGACTGAACAGGACTGACATCTGACACTAATTTTCCCTCATGCCACAACCAGATGGCTGTTATCCCATTCAATAATAGTAAAATACCTGAGATTGTATAAATTCAACAAGTTCCTGCAACCTTGCAGCTTGTTGAGCATGAATTCCACTGTAACTTCTTTGCATTGCTGGTAATCTTTCCAAAATGATCTGCAGATAACTCTGAAAGAACAACAAAAGAGCCTATCCAAATAATGAGAGGCCGAAGAAGTCCCAGGGCAGAAGATAAAACTATACAAGCAGAACTGAAGGCAAAACCTTGGTTGTATATGAACCATCCAGTTTAAGTGTTGAACCAGCTGCTGCTACAGATTCCTTATTAACCCCTTTGATCTGTAAGTAAGGACTAGGGGTGTCTTGCAGATGATCAACCTCAATGAGAATCTACAAATCAGAATAAAAAATGAAACTCATTCAGAAAGCCACACATATGAGAAGCTTATATACAAGAAGCATGGAATACATGAAAACCTGGCATCATCAAGCATTAGTACTTAAGGTTAGTACTTAATATGAAATTTCCTTTAAGACAATTTTAAGATAAGCTACAGCTCAACTGATAAAAAAATGCAAAAAAACTATAGAATAAGCTGACAAATTTAATTACAAAAAACGAGAACCAAGGACTGTACACAATTTGGAAGATTGGACGTATAAATTACAAGATAAATCCAGTGATATTATACCTTTCCATCTTGGTAGATATATGCAGATGCTTCAATGCATGCTACCGCTTGATACCTGATATTGCATGATAACAGAATATACGTCAATGATTTGTAAAATCCATCAGTTGTTCAGCTGTAAAGCATTAAAAGGAAGAACACTAAAATGCTTAAAACAAGCAGAAAATGCTATATACAGCCCATCAAAAGTAAATGATTCATTTGTATTTTCCAAAATAATGAAATAATAAACGCTAGAAAAACAGTAGTTTGTTTACAGCAGTTAAATTTATGTAACTGCCTAAAAGAAAAAAAATGTTCTTCACTGATATCCAGAAGCTGGAAGGATTGTTCACGTGCTGTGATACAAAAGCACCAGGATGGAATAGTGTCCACTTAATCAAAGCACGAGGATGGAATAGGGTCCACTTAATCAAGGGTTTTGAGCATGTCAACTCCTCAATTATAAAAAACAACGGGACTCAACAAGATAGATATACACACATACGATAGCTTTTAAATTTTGTCTTAACTGGGAACAAAAATGTGAAGATAAGTTCATATGAAAAGAAAAGCAAGACTATACACATGGACTTACCCAAGGTTAAGAAGGCCAGCGACCGTGCTGGTGCTGATATCAAAATCCACTTTTGGTTGAATAATGAAATTCCCTTCTCTTATAGGCTATTGTTGAAAACATTGGAAAATAAAAATCAAGCATTCACTAGATATTGAAGATAGAAAATACATTATAATTTGACAAGGAAACATGTCATATAACTCCAATACATTATATACAAACCTCCCGTATCAACAATGCAAATCTACCCTCACAGATTCTGAATCGTATGCAGTCACTCTCTGCCAGCTGCCCATTTGTAGGAAGTCCAGGTAGCCTTAAATATATATCAATGAAATTCTGAACAGAACTGCACAACTTCACAGGATCTAAGATTTTCAAAATATCTTGAGAAGCCACCTGTTATTGATAACAAACAATAAAAGCAGATCAGACACAAACCATGGTACATAATCTTCCACCAAATCATGAAAGTGCACTTACTTGCTTATTACTCTTCAAAACAAACAAAGAACTCTCAGGGGAAAGAACAGGATCAAAGTCATTTCGAATTTTGAGCTGCGACAATATAAGAAAATTGAAAAACCTCCAAGTTAAACTTGGAAATAGAATATCAGTCCTCAGAAATGCACTATAACAGAACATCAATATTTTCAAGAAACATGAAGGGACATGTATCATTACTAACTACAGTTTGTATGTTTCCAACATAAAAGATGTAGACAAATGAGTGTGAAAGTGCACCAGTATAAATGTGAAAAATCAGGAATGGTATTCTTCCCCTGAAAGATCTGAAAAAAATTCATTCCAGAGGTTCTATGCAATCCATTTTGATGATGACTTGAACTTCTATTAACATATTGACAATGATAATTTTGATCTTTGGTTGATCGAAAAATATGTGATTAATGGCATTCAATTTTTAATGTGACAAAGTGACCTTATTCTTTTTTCTTGGGCAGTCAAGGAACTTAACCTTTTCTACCAAATGTTATAGATATTTCCAGAACTTTTCAAGACAATGTCTCAATAAAAGAAGGCTTATCTCGGCAGCACATAGATGTGTCTCTGTGGGAAGATAAAACTATTGACATGACCAATGTTTAAAACATGGAAAACATTGAAATACCTTTCACGGTAAAACATAAAGAACAATAAGAAGATCAGACAGTAGGGGTATACTAACATGCGCATGAACAAGATGCGGCTCAATATGCTGCTGAAAAATTGGAAACACTGTCATCATGATCTCATTTTGGGACATAAAACACCCCACTCTACTTTTATCCCTTTGAACTCGAGAAATAAGATGTGAATGCACACCACCTACCTGTTTTCACAAAAGATGAAGTTACTTCACAACTAAACTTTCTCATCATCAATAGAAAATGTCTTTAGAAATCAGAACATCCACGCACATTGTCTCTCTGAAAATAAAGCCTAAAAAAGGGAGTGCAAATTCATCTTACAACAGCAATCCACAGGTCAAGTGATTTTCGGATTTCAGGATGCAGAGCATAAACCCCTTCAAAAATGATCTGGAAAAAAGAAAGAATGATTTAAAAAAAAAAAAAAGTCAAATAACATAGCATAAACTTAAATCACCACTATTGGCAAAGAATTTCATAATTGGAAATATCAATTGCTATGATCATATAAACTGTAAAGATGCATTACATGAACACTTGTTTTTCTAACTAGCCTGTATGAAGATGAATAAAACTTATAGCCAGTGTGGAACCAATTCTACTATACATCGTGTGCACTGAACAGCGTGCACACAATGAGAAACTGAAAAGTAGTAAGCGAATAATTTTGTATTAAAATGTCTGACCGTTCTTAACATCTCCAGGTTTCATTTTTTTACAAAATTCTAACACCACTAAGCATTTATCTAAAAAACTGCTGAAACAAATGTAGCATTACAATACGAGCATATAGCACCAATCTTCCATATCCTTAACAACACAGGAACAGCAATTGATGACACAGCATTTGGAGCTCAGTTAAGTTAATGAGAAACAGTTCACATTCAAATTTCTGTTAGGTTCACTGCTAGTTTGTAGTAAATATGCCCCATATTAAAACAAGGTTTAGCATTTTGAGGAAAGAAATTTAGTCACAGGTAGTCTTCCTGTTTTTAGAAGGCTTGCCTTGTGTAATCTCCAGACAGGACTTAATGATGGAAGGCGTGAATTAAAACAAGTTGGCAAATTTTCAAACTAGTCAGAAATAGCTTCTCTAATCTTTCCACTTCTGTATTCTCTACTCTCTCCTCTTTTTGGTATGTTATATCCTTCTCAAATGGACTGATAGACACAAATGTTGTGCACCCCGTCTCTCATGCTTCCCCCCTCTCCCCCCTTCTTAAGTTATTATTGTTGTTGTTATCATTATTCCAATTTTCAGGGAAAAAAGGAGGAGAAACTGTTATTAGAAAGAAAGAATTGTACAGCAAAAATTGAGTACAAGACATCCTCCCAAAAAGGGAAAAGAACAATCTTGATCTAAACAATGAAGCAGACCAATCCCTTTGAATATCCACTAGAGAAGAGCACCTAAATGCACCTGCCAGATGAAATCACAAAGAAGCGAAGAAAATTATCTTATCCCACAAAACCAGCCTACATGTGAAGTGATTATGAAAAATCCTTGCATTTTCTTCCATCCAAGTTCACCAAAAAAAACTTCACCAACAGCACCATCTCTGTAAAGGAAAATTTTCATTATTTCTTACTTTGAAAAGGTTAGCACCCTAGCACCAGCAATTTGCTTACCACATCATACTAGGCTCCACTAGAGATAAATTGTCTTGTATATATATGCCTACTTGCAGAGTAACATGAATCCTTAAAGCCACACTAAAGGGATAAATTGTCCTGTAAAGGAATCTAGTGGATCTCTAGCTTACCATAAGCTAAATCTTATGGTGATACCCTGAATCACAGGACAAGGTTCCTGGTTGACACAACACTCGAACAATTAAATGACTTAAGTATGCTAGCAGTGGACTGTACCTTAAGCCCATCTCTGCCTCCCCATTAACCCTTTGGGCTTTATGTCAGAATATTATCGAGTGATATCTTTCTTTTCTTCTTTATAGAAGTTTGATTAAAATAAAGATAGATAAATGTGATTGTGTAATACATCACTGCAAAATAAAAACATAAACCCATGATAGCAAGTTCTAGGAGCTGTATAAGTAAGTATGATAACAAACCACGCCACAATCTTCAGAAACTTCAAGTTCTTTAAATCCACTACGAGCACCAGTCTCCAAATCAAATATGGGTACTTTTGTTCTTCTACCATTCCTTATGTTACCAATATTCTGTAAAAGAATGATGGAACAATAACTGTATGTCAAATGCAAATATTTTTTTCAGGAACCTAAAAGGCAAACCAAGTGAAATGAATGTTGACTTTTCTTCAAAGTAATAATCTGCAATTATTACCAGCAAATGTAGAATTGATGTCACGGTATCTATAATAAGCCTATTTACAGAAGATATACTGTACATAACAAAGTAGGTCAATGATATAGCATTTTGAACCGGACATTAAAAGAAGAAAAATTGACAAATCAAAGGGAACAGAAGTTTGTTGCATGCATGGAAGGATTCACAAACAAGTATATGTCAGGTTGCTCTGATGAAGGATTTAAATATTGCAAAGAGGCCAGCTAAGGATCAGACGGTTTGATGTATATTCTGGACAATTAAAAAACCCCAGTGAATGAGGAATCTGGCAACAATCTTCTAAGAAAATCTCAAGGCAGTAAACAGAACAGTATTCTTTAAAATTACCCTGCTTTTCCCCAAGTCAAACCACTTAGAAGGAAAGAAAAGAATAGTAGCATGAGAAAACAGAATTATTTTCAAACCAAAAGGATTCTGATAAATGCTTAACTGTTGAGACGATATGGGAGGTCAAGAAATGTTTAATAAAAAATGGAGATCAGGAATACAAGAATTTGAAGAATTCTCACAAATCATGATTGGATGATGGAGATGGATGCTGATGTATAAATCTCTACTAAACACTGAAAGTATGAAACAAATGCTTGACCAAACAAACGCATTTTTACATTTTACTCCAACTCTTTGCTCAACCATATTTTAATATTTCCAAGCAATCTTATCTGAACAGTCATCTGACAAATGATAGCATTATTGATGTAGAAAAGATCTGCATAAGATGAATAAAATTAGCGTCCCCCTACCTTTGAAAGCAAAGCCAGATCTAGAGAGCTAAAGTCATCATACTTAAAATCTTTCACTTGTTCAGATTTAAAATAGCTTTCAAGGGAAACTACTTCGCACCCAACAATGTTAGCCATTTTGTGAGCCAGACTAGTTTTTCCAGATCCACTTGGGCCTCCTGTAACAACAATGAGATTAGAAAAGGCAATATTTATGACCTTAAACAAAGTAAATTGCTAAAAGCAAATACCACAATGCCACAGGAAATTGATTCCTCAAAGAAATTTTTTCTCTTCCAAAAGGAATTTTATGGTTCCAGAAGTTTTTTTTTTGTTATCACTTGAGCATCATAATAGGAAATGCCATGGTCTTCTTTGAAACCATAATGACAAAAAATTACACAAGGAGATTAAAATTCTTTATTTTGTGCACAAATATGTGTCTGCAATTAAAATTACAATCAAATCAAATCAATTACAAACATATTACTATGCTCACGCTTCTGAAAACATTAACATATGGAGATTTAATTGTGCACTTGCCCATGACATTTATGAACTTGAATGACACAACACTTTGCACCAACAACTGGATTACTTTCAAGAATATTCCATAGTTACGGAGCACGTGGTCAAAAAAAAATTTTTTGAAATGTTTGTGCCTGTGACAGAGAGAGACTTTTAAAGCATGTATTACCAATTCCAACAATGACAGGGGGGCCTTTATTCTCCAACAAAGCCTGAAAAAATACATAAAATTGCATAATTTTTAACCGGACTGATTGTACTGGTAAGCTTCTTAAACTTGAACGTGTATAATTACACTAATCTCACATTCATTTTTTTGTTAAACTCATTACCTGTATCGCTTGAACAGCAAGAAGCAACCCTCTATCCAAATCATATGAATCAGGCATAGGAGCAATCTTCATGTTATCCCTGAAAGAGGAAGAATCTGTGGTTGCTTCATGAGAGAATTCGCGAAACGTAATGATAACACTCAAACAATGTAGTTCATCACCAAGAACACTTAATGAACATTTGTAACAATCTTCCAGGTAGAGGACACTTACCTCTGACTGAACTCCCATGTGACGTATCTGATGATATAAAATGCCATGTTGCTACTATTGGCTCCATTTTAGATTTTGTTGGTGACCGAGTCCATGGTTGAGATAAATCCTCAAGCCGATTAACAAGGTTTGGAGAGGTACGGATTGGCCTTGGGGCAAAAATGACCCTTTCTTGATTGCTTGTCATAGAAGTATTAGGCAATAGTGGTGGTGTGTTAAGACGTGGCACACCTGCAAGTGAAGTAGCAAATTGTAGAAAGGAGAACTTTTGATCTATACCAGACAAACCAACCAAAATGCAACCTTTTCTCTGAAGAATCATTTCCAGATATGACTTGGTGATCCAAGGTCCATTAATACCCATCCTCGTTGCCTCTGCTCCAACAGTCTACATAAAAGTAGAATAGCCAAGATAAATGAAAGCTGTGGCCATAGTTCCCAAGTGGAAGTCCAAGGACCAATCTAATTTCTGGTACTGAACAAAAAAATAGTACATAAAAGATCAGCTATTTACAACGAGAATGGAAAGTGTTGGCCCAGCTACTATCATATGTATCATATTGATTGAGGAAAATACATAACGAAAATTGGATGATATGATTTAGTGGACACTCAAGCTGAGTCATGAAACATGCCGTCCAACAGCTGGAGTAATAAGTGAAGATACAAAACTAGAATCAGCCTGTTCAGTTACATGCTAATCATGCACACAGCATAACAAAATAAGAAATCTCCATCATGATTATTAGGAAATTTCTACTAACATTTGGCAATCAGAAGATCCATGAACTTGTGTGCTAATGTCCCCCATGCACAACACTCATCATGAAGAAAAAATTTCCATTCATTCAATCTCCCTAAAGCAAACTGAGAAACTAGATGCTTCATGCACTCGTGCTAAAAGTTATCAAGAATCGTTATTTGCATAACTTTTTTTGTAGAAACAATTCTGGAATAAGATCGTGTTTCCTGCATTTTGTGGGTAACAATCCAGGGGCAATTAGGGAAAATCACTAACTTAGAATTGGAGCACTCTTATTGTCCATTGCATTTTCCCCTTCACTTTCTTCCTGTCACTTGCTGGTGGATATGTTACTCACCCTCAGGTTTTTGCAGATTCTATTCTTTCCAATAAAAAATTTTCTATCCTACAAAATGTGTGGGTGGGTGAGCTGGCGGGTGGGTAATGATAATGATAATGATAATGATAATGATAAAGGTAAATAGCTATCTTGTTCTACTAATTATCCAGTACCTTACTCAATTGCTTGGAAAAATATAAGAACACAACAGATAAATGATTGTGAAGCCTCCTACATGTTATCTTAACCAAAAAGATGGATCCATACTTTCCTATTCATGCCCCTCAGCACCATGAATGTCTCACCAAGAGTATCAATGGTCTCCAACGACAGTGAAAGATTTCCATTGCTAACAGATGAAGACACCCGTTTATAACTCACTACAACATTGTACCCTAAAGCCAGCAACCCACCAAGTGTCATTCTCCCAACCTGTCTCAACATTAAATGATAAAATAGGTAAGCAAAACCGCCAAAGATTACAAATTCAGTGAAATATTAGAATCTAGTTTTTAAAAGAATTGAACTTACATTTCAAGTTGTACTAATGTTGTCCTATAAAAACAGACACCATATAAAATAAAGAGACTACAGATTCCAAACAACATAAGAAAAGATGCATTTAAGACCTCTAAGCTACCAGTTTCATTAATGGATGGGATTGCAGTATTGATTGGAAATGGAAGACGCCTATGCATCTTGAATGTAGGGACCATGTCTCAAATACAATTGTCTAGATAGTATGGATCTTGTGCTGAAGCTTCCAGAAGCAACAAAATGTCCTTGTTAGTAACTGCAGTAGACTACTGGACAGGTGTGGCGAAGAACTTTGCCAAAGGTTCCATTTCCAATTATTTCCGTTTTATTTGTTTATCACAAGTTTATGTTCATTGATTGATTGATTGATAAGATGCCTGAATAGTTTGCCCAGCCATATGCAGATGTGAGGAAGAATGATTATTTCACAGGTACCTACCTATCCATGGTCCTAATGATCACGCACTGTAATGAAGGTCCGTGAATTCCCTTGTACTTTAAAGATGACTGACATTAGTCTTGCAGCTTTTCTGGAAAGTTGTGAACAGTAATTTAACATTTGTGTAGGCTGAGAAATGAACCATTACATTCAGAAAATTGCCCACTTGCATTCATTTCCATCTGAAAAGTAATGCTAAGAATTTATTCCTCTATATTGGCCATGGGTGTTAATTTCTTTCTGGAAGCTAGAATTCGATTTTGATCATAAACTTTGCTTTCAGAGTCTGGCGTTTATGCTATAATTGCAATCTCAGAAGCCCCTTACCTCAAACTCAGCTTTTGGCCTGATAATAAAATTTTTGTCGACAATTCTCTGGTCCCCAAGTGATAGATAATATTTGATGCCAGACTGCCGCACCTTGATCCAATCATTTGTCAGTGCTTCTTCACTTGCTGAAGGAGGTCTAAGGTACATCTCAATAAAACTGCAACCAAGATAAAGTTCCGACCACAATTATTCACACTCAAAGCTCAGAGAATAAACCACTTGGTTTTGCACTGATATTATGGTAAGAAACAGAGAGTGAAGAATCACTAGCTTATCTGTATGTGCTGTTCCTTGGAAGGCATAAGCAGGATGTCCATCTGGTGACTGTCGCAACAAGTTAGCATTTAAGTAACATTCAATCAAAGGGTGCAGGTGATGCATATTAATATAGTAGCTAATAATGAACTATACAACTAAAAAAAAAAGTGAGGGAAAGGTAATTCCATGAGCAATGACAAGAAGTGCAACTCAACGTAATTCCAGAGAAGCATTTGATAATTGGCATTCAATATTATTCAAAATCAACAAGAGAACATATGCACTGGTCAATGCTTTAAATTACACGCTTGTTATTGATTACGCACCCATCCACTGTTAAGAAGCGGTGTTTTGTCATGGTCTGCACCATATGCAGATTTTCTTCACCATTAAAACAAAAGTTGAAGATTACAAGAAATCCTCATCCTTCAAAAGAATTTTCACAACTATCTCACTCGCATAGTGAACATGAAGGACATAGGCAATTAACAAGAGCTAAAAAAGTATAAGGTCAGCCATTGTGCATATGAACAACAGTGAACCCACTGCCCAGTTTTTTTTTTTTTTTTTCAAACTTTTTTTTCAATTGCATACTTTTACATTCTAATTATATGAAATTAAGAGCCAAATTAAAACACGGATAGAATACATGGCACACCCCAAATTTGCAACACTTTTTATTTTGAATCTTTTTTTTTTCAATCCCTAGTTTAGAGAGGAAAGAGAAAGTTGTAGGAGAAATTAATTAGTTGTCGCGATAATGACAACAAAAAATGGTCAAACTTGGTGTCAATCAGTTTCATTCAACGATGGGATTTCAATGGTGGTGGCTTTTTTTAAGGCCCTGATACGTTGAACTACTCAAACCCGTGTGCCTAGCCTAACTTTTTTTAGGGGAAAAAAAAACTTTAGCATCGGGTTTTTTATTTTTATTTTTATTTTTATTTTTTCAATTTATCTTATAATATTGTGTTGATTTTGAATTGGTCTTTATTTTTTTACCATATAATAAAATAAAATAAAAATATTATTGAACCCATTGGAATCCACATCTCAGGTCACGGGTTTGGTGAGTTAACTAGGTTGACTGGACTCGATCCAACAAGTCATCATCTCGATATTAAAAAAAAAATGTTGACTTCAATTTTTTTAAAAAAAAAGTCAAACCACTTTTGAATGATCATCCAAGTTGCTTTTAAATTCGCATACTTGGTCTCTATTTTTTATGTCATTTTTTTATCCTTTGAATTTTTTGCCTTGGAACCCGCAAATTGACTGAATCACATCAAGGCAACTCTCACATGCTTTAATTGAAAACTCAGACTTGGCAAGGACTCAAGGAGAGAGTTTCAAATTTGACTCGCTAGACCAGGTTTAATGGCAATATCAAAGGATTCCCTGCAACTTGAATATTTTTTTACGTTTAAAATGATTTTAGTCCAACCCACAGCATAGCACAGGAAATAAACTAGTTCTCAACTATTTAACTTAGCAATGAACCATGGAAAGATGTACATACCTCACTTCTACATTTCAGCTTGTAGATTGCTTCTCTAAATGATGAGACAAAGCTGTTGTTGATTCTAATCTGCAGAATAAAACCCCAAGATGAAAACCAGCCTTTTAAAAATTGTACAAGATAAGGAAAAAAGCCCCAACCTGTGCATGGTGAAGGTCTGGCTCAATGTGTTTCCTAAACAGTGGGAATATGCTGTCAATAAGGTAATCCAATGAACAAGAATCCCCAATGTCGTATTGAACTTTAGAAAGAAGACTGAAATGAACTCCGCCAACCTGATCCACCAACCATATTTAGAAATCACCGTATTTGAAGCTGTAAAGAAAATGACAGCTTCACAGCCCCTTATTCAAATCAAGATATATAACTTCAGAGCATAAGTTACCACAGCAACCCGGATATCCAGCAAGGAGCGCAGTCTTGCATGCAGAGCATAGGCACCATCAATTACTACCTAGAACAAAGAAACATTAAAGAAATTAACTCCATGGAAGCAAGGTAAATCACAGTAACTGTTAGTTCCCCTGGCTTACCACTCCAGATGATGTGCTGTTTATTCCTTTGGAACCAATACGTCTTTTCTGTTGGTAATCAAACATAGGTATCGAAGTATCTTTTCCTTTGGTCAAATCCTATTGCCAACACAAACAACTGTGTAAAGATAGACAAAACTAAATTTATATAGAACGCATGCATAACTTTTACTTCAGAGAAAATTTTTTGACACGTGACCATAGTAGGTTTCTAAATGATTACACTTGGGTATTTCTAAGAATTGGAAAACCAGGTTTCCAGTTAACTATATATTACAGAATTGCCATATGCAAAATCCAATCCAATCAAGTAGCAAAATTTGAGAAGAAAATGCAAACCTCAAGATTTTGTATCAGTGTATCGAAATCAATTGAATCCAAATCACTCCCATCATCAAATCCCATGCGATAATTCTCCATTGATATAACAACACAACCAATTACAGAAGCCACCTTCTCTGCTAAGCTTCACAGATCATCAAACAAAAAAAAAGTAAAATCAGAAAGTATCAAATAAAGCAACAGAAATACAACTACAGAAATTCTGAAAGTGAAAAAAAAAATAGATATACAACCTTGTTTTGCCTGAACCACTAGGACCACCAATGCCAACAGTAACAAGACCTTCTTTTTTCTCTCTGAGCTCTTGAATAGATTTTACCAATAAATAATATCCATGATCAAAAGACTGCATCATTCCAATCCAGCAATTAATTTTGATCAGAATTAATTTTTTCAGAAAAAATAAGATATTATTACCTAGCTAACTAATATTCAAAATTAGAAGAAATGGATGAATGAAAGTGAAGAAAAAGCATACCACGTGAAGAGGGAGAGATTGGAGGATGGAGGAGGAGGAGGAGGAAGTAGAAGGCTGTTGCTGGAAGTAATCGCGGCCTCCTTCTTGGAATACTCGCTGAACAACCTCATGGTCCATTTGTCAACAACCGCACCAATCCTCTTTCAATCTCTCTGGAGCCCTGAAGAATATATATTGCTATTAGAGAAGAGACAGAGAGAGAGACTCGGTTTTATTAGTTAAGTAGTAGTGTTGCTTTTTATTATTCTGGTGCCTTAACTTTCTACCCTTTTTGTTCCTTCCTTGCTTCTGTACGCTCCCGCTCGTTTTCCTTCTCTTCCACACTTCGTTCATCTCTCTTTTCTTTCTTCGATTTTTTTTAACTCTATTTTGGTTTTATTAATTAAAATTCGTGTCGTGATTTTTTTTTGAAGTCCTAGTTGTGATAAAAATAAAATTAAATAAAAAAAGTGATATTTGTCTTTAAAATTCTTGTAGTAAATTTAACTGAAAGGGCGTTTGAAGCTGTATTTGAAAAATGTTTTAAAAAAATTTAAAAAAATTATTTTTAAATTAATTTTTTAATATTTTTTAATATATTAATCTCAAAAATAATTTTTAAAAAATAAAAAAAATTATTAGTATATTTTTCAAAGTGAAAAATATTTTAAAAAACAACCACAATTTTATTTTCAAATACATAATAAAATGTTTGTTTTTGCGGTTATTTCTGTTTTTAAAACAAATTACAAAAAAAATTATATTTGATAACCAAGGAAACATTATTTATTATCGGTAGAATCTTCCTTTATTTTGTGACGGTTTCACTTATGCATCCATTTGTCATTTCAAAATTATAAATTCATGCATTTCAGTGCTTGGTCTAGCGGTGGAAGGGGCTTATCTCCTTTCACTGCACTTGAGTTCGAGCCCTGACGTGCACATCTGTCACCCCCGCGGTGCCTTACATGCCTACTGGGTTTGCAGGGTATTCAGTGGACCGTGGGGATTAGTCGTGGTGTGCGCAAACTGGCCCGAACACCCCACGTAAATCAAAAATATATATATATAAATTCATGTACTTGAGGTTTGATCTAGTAGTGGTAGGAACTTATTCTCTTTCACTGTATCTAAATTCGAATCGTATTGTGTACGTCTGTCATTCTCACGGTATATTACATGCTCACTGGATTTATAAGATGTTCAATGGGTCATAGGACTAGTCGTGGTGCATGCAAACTAATCCGGACACTCATGTAAATAAAAAAAATTATAAATTCATCTTCAATATATTTATTTTACAAGCTCACTAGATTTGCAGGGTATTCAATGAATTGTGAAATTAGTCATGATACATGCAAACTAACTCAAATATTTATGTATATCCAAAAAATAAATAAATTCATCCTGGTTATATTTATTTTTATATTTGAAACCAAGTTGAGTTGTGTTTCAAAAGAGTGTTACGCTTGGAAAAATATTATATTAATATTATTTTTAGTATTTTATGATAATTATGATGAATTGATATTAAAAATTAAAAATAAATTATTTAAATATTTTTTTAATTAAAAATATATTTAAAAAACATATAGAAACCATTAAAATTATTTTTAAGTCCCCAAAATTGTCCTTTGTTTGACAATCCCTGCATTCATTTTTTGTGATGTCCAGTTTCCTTTCGCTCTTCGAAATTCAAAGATGGCGAATGAAATCCGAATTTTTCTTTGCCAATTACATTATCTTCACTCTTGGCAACATTAGCGAATGCAGGCATGGACAACAGACTCAGCCATCAACGGCGAATGGTGGTCAACTCAAACCAGTCGACGGCGAACTCAGGGATTTCTATTCACTATTGGTAAGGCGATGATTGAGTGGTTTGGTGGGTAATCTGATTATTTAAATAAAAGTAAAACCCCTCCTCTGCGTCTCTCTCCAACCTGTAAACTTTTTTGATATCCAAACTAATTTACGAATATTTCCATTAATCACTTGATTTCCTAAAATTAATTATCGAGTAACTTTTTAATAATTTTAAAATTTATAATAATCAAATTAATAATATCTAATCTAGAATTTAATCAGATATACCTCTCAAAATTACAAACTTATTCGCAGTAAAGTTCTATCAATTTGGCAATGTCTTTGCCAGGTTGAGACTGGTACACCTCTGGTCAATGTCCCATTTGCAAATTTAGGAGAGGTTGTTGTGAGGAACTTCTAAATGTTGTCCTGGACTGTGTTTCTTCGTGGTAAAGTGTGATGTCAAATTTGTTGAAACATTAATCCATACCCAAGAGTGGAGGCAGGTTACAGGCTGGAATGGTTTATAGTCTAGGTCAAAATTTTATTAATATTTTTTAATTAGTTTTATATAAAAAAATTATAATTTTTGATTCAACTATTAAAAATTTTAAAAAATCTGCATTGAGTTTTTTAATATGATATTTTACCTTGGATTAAAATTTTAAAATTTGAAGAAATTTAAAAATTTAATGAAAAATTATAATTTGATCAATTTTACATTATTGAATATAATTTTCAATCTAACTATCAAATTAAGCTAAAATTTACGAGAGATCTTAATAAAATCTAGTTAAAATTTTAGAATGAATAGATCTTGATAATACCAACAACAAAAAACCATCAAATAAAAGTAAAAAGACTTGTTAGGGATAAAATAGTTATTTGCTATTAAAAAATAAAACAAGTCATTGTCGACTGAGCTAAAGTAAAATAGAAGAAGAAAAAAAGAAAAGGCGAGAGGAAAGGAGAGAAAAGTATGGGAAAATCATAAAAATAAAAGATAACAAGAATTTTTTTTTAAAGTGAAAGAATAATTATGTAAACTTACAAAGTCTAACTTATAAAACACTAATTTAAAAAAGAATTAAGTAAAGGAATGAGAAATTAACAGAGAGAAAGAATTTAATTATTTTATTTTTCAATTGATATGAGATTGTTATTTTATTTGAGTTAAGGGATTATTACAATATCGATTTAGATTTGATTATAGATAAATTGCATCTCACAAAACATTAAATGATGTAACTTTAATAATGAGCTTATTTTCACTTTCACTTTAATTTTACTTATTTTTAAATTTATTTTTTAATATTTTAGGGCAGTATATTTGAATTAAAACTTTATTATTAACTTTAAAAATTTACATGCATAAATTAATAATTAATCTTAAAAAATATTTATATATTTATTTAATAGTCTAGGTCAGTAAAAATTCCTAGCTCCATCACTTTTACACCATTGAGATCAAATCATAAATTAAATTAACTTGTTTTTAAAAAGTTAAAATTTTATTGAAATTTAATTTTTAATTCAAGTTTTTTGAAATAAAAAAAAATTATTTTAAAATAATTTTATATTGATATATTTTGATGAAACTCAAAAAATTTTAAAATAATTATATTCTACTTAAAAAAAATTATGTTTATAAAATAAATAGTTGAAAAGTTAAAATATATAGGTAAAAAAAGACCCAAACAACCCCGGTGAGCACCCTCTGCCCATACATCACATCACATAAGGTGTAACAACAACCTTTACTGCACATATAACATTTCTTGACCGGGTTATATTATTTTTTTGGTGTTTTACTTTGAATGTATTTTTTTGCCACCTGTAATCGCACTGGAAACTTTGTTTGCTGAACAGAGTAAATTTTCAAACTCACTTGCATAGAAAAACAGTAAAAACTAAAAACATTAAAAACTTAACCCAAGAAGTATACCTTTCCTACTTACAAATGTTTTTTTTTATCAAATCAATATAATTTGATAAAAAAATTATAGTAATATCACGCTTAATAAAATAATATTAGAAAATAGTATATTTCCGGTCCACAAACTATCAAATTTGAAAACAAAAGGGGTATATTTTAACCGAATTTAAAAAATCTTGATCTATAATATTTATTTATTAAATTTTATTTATTTATAATGTAACATTTACATGATTTAATTATCACATTCAAAAAGATTATTGGCTGAATTTTACACAATTAAATAACATATACCGCTTCAAAAACGGAAGAGCACTCCCACATAACTGTTAACAAGTTTAATGTCATCCTCGACTTTATCCGGGTGTTGGATTTCATGCCTTTGCAGGGAAGGTATCTAATTAAGAAGCGCTGGGAGGTCGAGAAGATGCCCTTGAAGATCACTTATCCAGTTCTGGCCGGATTTGATCTAAAAAACACACAGCAGAGTTACCATAATGGCGGGTCTTGGCCAGGTTAGTGTCAAGAACACAACGTTATAATATGTTATTTTCATTTCGATGGTGCAAAGGAAAAGAATGCTTGTTCGCACATTAGCTCAATTGACCGTACCTCTGTCTAGATCAGGTTTCCAGTTTAAAAAAGTTGTGAGAATGACCTAAGCGCTCTGATCTTACTACTCTAGGTCCGACGAGCAATGACCGGATAGGCTTTTATCTCGAATGGAGGGCAAGCCCTACCTTCTGGCGGTCTACCAATCTGCCAGAGTCTAATCTACTACCAGGCAACCTTGCACTGCTCTTATCTGTTGCTTATGGAGAAAGGTACTTGGTCTTTCTTTTTACATTGAGAAAAATAGGTGAAATTCTTGGTTCCACAGCCCTACTGCTTCCTCCGTCTGTCATTTTTGATTGCCTAAAACGGCAAACCTTCCCTGGTCTTCCAGCTGCATAAGGTAGTTTGCTTGCCCGTCTACCCTGGTGGAGATCTCTCCCTAGGCCTCTTTCTCTCGAGCTAGGCTAAATAAAAGAGAAGTACAGGATCTTCATGACAAACCAACACCTGTCTTGGGGAAATAGCTGCAGAAGAAGAAAGCCTTCGGAGTTGGATAGTGTAAATATCATATATGAAATATTTTTTTTAACATCTATAAAATCATAAAAACTTGGATAAGGAAGTTTTTTCTTTATTTATTTATTTTTCAGGCTCAAACTCTGAGACAGGAACCAAGAAAAAATATTATATTTTTCTTGATATACCATACTTATGTCGAGGGTTTAAATTTATCCAGTAATAAACTTATTCCTGGTTAACATATAAATTAGCTTAAAGATACCCTTACCATCGATAAAAAAAAAAAAAAAAAAAAAAACCCACAATGTTATGCATTACTGAACAACAAGTCCTTCCCCATAAAGGGAAAGTAAAAAGTTCGGAGTAACTATAAAAATAAACTTACTTTCATGGTAATCATCGAATAACATTCTTTTCACTTGCTAATTTGCTAATGAACAAGTTGCTAACCCGCATGTTGAAGACTTGAAGCGGTTTTTTAATTTGAAAAAATTATCTTAAATTTTGTCTTTATTTATTTAGAAATCATGGCTTATTATCTTCATACCTTGCTT